TGCTTTTTCTGGATCACGAACAGCCAGCAGGAACGTCGGATCACTCTCGGGAACAGGTGATACGCAAGGTGTGCATTGAAGCTATCACACAGGTTACTGCAGTAGCCAAGACAAATCGTGCATTACGTACTAAGGCAGTTACCACCGGTCAGCATTGTTATGATGAAGGAGATTTGGTTGACTATCATTGCCCCGCAACTACGAAGGACGACTGGGGGGGCTGGAATGGCCCGTTCCCAGTTGCACGAAATGACCCCGACAGGGGTCATGCCATCATTCGAGTGGGAAGCCGCGATGTCCAATTCCAATATGGCGACGCACGACATTCACTGTTAAATCGAAGCTTTGATCGCCAGGGATGTCGGCTCTGACAACACTGCGCTGCGGACAGTGCTGACATTCGTGGCCAGTCTGCCTGCGGGGAGACCTGCTATGACATTTGGCTATGTCCCCGCCGAAAAAGGGGGTGCTTCAGATGGCAAGTGCAATCCGATGATCTCCTAAGGTACATCTGGCGCTGCCATACCTAATCAGAATTTTCTTCCGTATTGAGAAAGTCGTCTCTGTTAGGTTGACCAAGAGTATCCATGAGCTACCCTGGTGGCTTGCGCTGACAGTTGCATATTGGTCCATCTGACAACGATGAGAATCCAGGTTCCCATTGCTATGAAGCAGAAAAGCACTGCCCTGAATATTCATGATATCGCTAGATCAGCACATTCGAGAATCATCCAGCGCCTAAAGTCCACTAGACCTAACGCGCGCTGTGACCAATCTATGACAACGTTTGAGGAACTGGCGGACATACCGGCACAAGACGAAGACGCCAGAGAAGTCCAGAAGCCGAACAACCGCAAGAGGATGGGCGGCCTCCTACGGTATATGTGGAATCGGAAGCGGACCTTGAGGCACATATCATGAAAGTGTTGTGCGCAGAACTTCATGATGAAAAGGGACTTACTGGAGGCAACTCCACTAGACGACCTTTGTACTGTACCCACACATATGATTACCGACAACAGTGCACTGGTCGCTGTAGCTGAACAACAGCGGGGGGACCTGCCTAAGTGGTGGGGACACCCGCGCGACTCCGACGTCGAGGAGACGTATCATGTCCCACTATGCTCCAAGGTCGAAGATAACAGTTACGGATTGGACTCACACGAAAATGGTCAATATGTAGAACTTTGCTTCGCGGCAGAAATCTCAAAGGTAGTCCCATTCGAACGACAGCGCAGGGTATGAGATGCCGACCGTGTTGCCACCATGCGAGTCTATGTTACGGCCGCTGCAAAATTGGCAGTGGTCGTCATGGAGGACGACCTTCTCGCGAAGGCCGACATCCAGGCGAACCCCGAGAAATATCCAAGGCCATATATATATATATATATTGAACTCGAGACATGGTTCGACATCCAGTGTTTCAAGATGGGAGACATATCTACAGCGTCAGAAGTCATGACCTCGAGGTGCGTGAAAGCATTGGAGTTCGCGAAGGACGAAAATTGCGCCTGGTGCTTCGGGGTATCATGGGCCTTGAAGCTTTCGACGTGGAAACCTTTTCTGGGGCAGCACGGCGGTCGAGCCAGAGGTTGCTCGCATGCGCGGCAGCGTGCAAGAAGCAATGGGTCATTGCTTCCTTCGACATCAACATGGCCTTCCTGGAAGGGTTGACCTGCCAGGAACTTGCTGTGGCAACTGGTGAGAAGGAACGCGCGGTGTGCTTTACCTTGCCGCCTGGGTCGGCTGCGGTGCTTTGATCCCTCCCAGGATTCGCGCGCTACGACGAGTCGAAGCGCTGCCTGCTGTGCCTCAAGCCAGGCACCAGCACCAAGGATGGACCCTGGGTTCTCTCATTAAAGCTCAGATGGGCCACGACAGGCTTTGGTCTCAGACCCGCGTCCAACGACGCGGAGTTCGAGACGAGCAGTAACCTGCTCGCAGCCAGACGTGGTGATGATATATGGCCGGCACTGAGGACACAATTGACAAGTGCGTCAAGTGCGTCGAGGACACTTCTGGCAAGTGCAAACTCAACAAACACACATATACCAAGTGCGTTGTGGGGTATGCCAAGGATGAGGGCGGCAATGTCGCAATGCACCAATATGGATACATCAGGCAGCTCCGTCTTATGCAGCATCCTGAACTCTCCGGTGCCGACGATGACGCCGAGGCATCCAAGATGGTTGCAGACATTTTCGCCAGTCTCAGAGGTTCATTGGCTTACGCATTAATCGCCAAAGTGTGGTTGATGGTGTATGTGGTCTCTCTACAACGTGTCCGCCAAGAACCGACCAATATACATGTGCGATGACTGAACGCGACCACCAGGAAGTTGCAGGCCTGCCCTGAGAAGATGGCCTGCCAAGCGATGACTCCAACGGGCGCAGTTTACCTGCGCAGCGACTCAGGCTACTGACGCCTGAGTGGAGATGCCGATGGCGAAGTCATAGGCTATGGTATTCGCGGTCCAGACCTGCTACGGCGTGGACCCACGCCATCCGGTAAGCCTGTCGTCCACTTAATCGATGCGTACTGCAAGTCTCACCGCTTGCGGGTCCGCTCAAGCTATTCAGCAGAGGCACTAGCAGCAGCCCGCAACTTGGAGGACTGCTTTCCCACGATCGTGACTTTGCACGAGCTCCATGCAGGACCGTCGACCCCCACTCAGTTGAAAAAAACATGCTTGAGTTGGGTGGCTTGAGCATCAAGGTCACCTTGATCATGTATGCTGAATCTGTTTTTAAGTTCTTGTCAAGCGAAGACTTGAAGAAACCGACTGTACCCTCGTAGGACACACCAGTTGGATACGACAGATGATGAAGCGAGGAATCGTGCACAGTATTCACTGGTGTGACACTCGTGACATGACCGCGGATGGTCACACAAAGGGGAGCATCGACACATATATGCTCCTACAGGTCATGGGAGGTACGCAATCCTTCAAGCATGACTTAATGCGTCATAGTCCTTATCGGGCTTGCCAGACATCCTGGCCTGCGGCCGCCTGAGGAGTAATCGTATGCGCAGTAACGTGCAGGCAAGACAACTTGCGTGCGGGTCCGCCTTCCTTACGGCCCCGCCCTTGTTGCTGCCTTTTGTACATAGTGGTTGCCGTATCTGCTGTATAGAAGCGGCGGGCTCACGCTTCGTCTCCCCCCCCCCGGATTCTAAAGTGAGCTGGGATACAGGCGAAAGGAAGAGAGCGTGTGTGCGCGGCCGTTTGTGCTCAAACGGATGGTGTCTATATCTGATTCTACCTCAGGGCGATGTGTACGATTCGCCATCGAGACCGAAAACATCCTTCGCTTGAAATGGCCCGTCGCTCCCGCGACGACCTCCTACTATTGGAACTACTGTTACTACGATACAACAGAGCTGGAGCTGTGCTTCGCCTAAGGCGTAGCTTCGGGTCGGGCCGACCGGCCCCCTTCAAATTGCCTGGGGCTGTCTTGGGGCCATTTTGGGGCCTGCCAACCATTGAGCTCTGCTCCTGGGCCGCCGTTGGGCTTTCTGAAGGTTCTTGACGGGCTTCTGTTAGGGCGTTATCGGGAGTCTTCCGAACCCTCTTGGAGCTTGTCCGTGCCCCACTTGAGTCGTCCTGGGCGATCGTGGAGCAATCTAGAGGCCGGAGAAGCCCATAGGAAACAAAACGGCGAGAAAACCGAAGCCATAGCACAGTTTCGTGGTTTTGAATGATTTCGACCTCCTGGAGGCTTTGGGACCATCTTGGACCACCTCGTAGCTATCTTCGGGCCTGTCACCCATGATCCTCGTTCCTGACCTGTGTTTTGGGCCCCCCTGGCTCTGTTGGGGCGATCCAGGGGTTGTCTTGGGGGTCCTGAGGGCCGCGTTCAGGAGCAAAACCATGTCAGACCCGCCTTGGCAGGTTGTTTCCTGGCGGTTGCCCAGGACCTTGCCGGGGTACTTTCTGTCTGGGGACCCCCAGAGGCCGCCACGCGCGCGCCACGTGCGCGTCAGCTAGTAGTATACGTCTACTCTGAACTTCTTGCCAGATATTCTAGCACGTCTTCGGGCTGGCGAGTGGACTGGCGAGTTCTATTTCATAGATTAGACAGAGCTGCTGCTTGGGGCCCACTCGATCTCATCTTATATTTTTTTGGCCTCGGGGAACTGTGCTGGAGGTCTCCTTGAGTGCGTCTTGTAGCCTTTGGGACCGTGCGCCCAACTTGATCTGGCCCTCGGGGCATAGCACAGGTGTCTTGAAGTCTTGGGCCGCCTCGGACCCATCTTGTGGCCAAAGAGGGCACCAGACGCCCAAATTAGGAAAACGATTTTCGGGGTGGGTGGGTGGGGCGGGGTACTTCTACGGGTTGAATGGTACCATGTGGAATGCTACAGGAGCCTACCAGACAATCCACAGGTATTCTAACACGCACCAGAGTTCCAAGGGCGCGCTAGCGGATTACTTCACTTGTGCAACCACTGGAGAGAAGTCCAAGGTCGAGTACACCTTTGGGTACCAACGCTGCGACGATGGAAAGGTGCGAATCTTTTTGCACCATTCGTCTGTGCCGTACAAGGTCTCCACTGGGGCAGCGGTTACGAAAGAAGATGTGATTGCCGTACAAGCTGCGTGGGCGGACGCGATCAAAAACATCTCCAAGGTTTACAAGGACAATGGTGACTACGTTGCTACGGCTGCAGCCGCAGCTAGCGAGCTCTACGCATACGGCAAGCACAGCGTGCTCTTCAAACCGACCAAGGCCTCCGAGCACCAGTTCCGGCCCACGCCCGAGGAGGCTATGTCGTATTTTGTGGGCGGCAAGGCTGTCGACAACGGCTACGCTGAGGACGGTGGCTTTGCGATCAATGGCGGCAAGGGCTGGTCGGATTGCGTATACGACAACCACCAGATCGAACTCAAGAGTGACGTCGCCATAGCCATGGGCAACTACGAGTTCACGTGTGCAACCACTGGAGAGAAGTCCAAGGTCGAGTACACCTTTGGGTATCAACGTTGCGACGACAGCAAGGTGCGCATCTTCTTGCACCACTCGTCCGTGCCGTACGTGGCCAAGCAAGCGTAGCGAGCAACTCATTGCGGTCTGCGGGCACACGAAGCGTTGTGCCATCAAGTCACTCTGCGCCCCCCCGTTTACCCTCTTGGGGCGCCAGGCCTGACTCCGCCTGCGGCTCCAGGCGCGGTCAATAGGGGCGTTCGAAGCGAGGTCCCAGGGAGGAGGAGGAGGAGGAGGAGGAGGAGGAGGAAGAGGAGGAGGAGGAGGAGGCTGTCTGAGACCCAGACTCCCAGTCACTAGTCCCTTCCCGCCACTCCTCCTGGAGAGGGCCCAGCAGCTCTTTGGCTGAGGTCCGTAGGGCCAGCATCCCGCCAGCAGCGGAGGCCACGCGCCCCCCCTCCTGCATCGCAGCACCGCGGACGCCCATGTTTCGTAGGACGTCCCGGTGCGGGAGGGCCCCCTCTTTCGCAAGCCGGTTGGCGCAGGAGTCCCTTCCTTACGTAGCAAATCATGGGAGCCTGGTGTACCCTCTCAGTTCAGTCTTCAGCGTCGACTAGCGTCGATTAGCGTCTGGGAATCGATGAAATCGCGCCGATTCAGCGTCGGCTAGCGTCGATTTAGCGTCGATTTAGCGTCGATTAGCGTCGATTTGCTTCGATTCGCAATAGCCGACAGGATGGTATGGAAGGCTCCTGTGAGTTGCCACCGAGCCTTCACAGCTCCTGGTAGTGGAGTCCCTTCCCTCCCCTCCCCTCCCCCTCCCTCGGGGCTTCGGCTGCCTTCGGCCGCAGTGTGGCTGCCACGAGTGCACGGCCTGCGTGCTGCCGTTTGCTCGAGGGTTTTGGCCAAGGTGCCCGACTTCCTGTGCGTCCCCGGCTTTCCTGTGTTGCGTTCTCATTGTGTGAGTTTATCGACGGTGGGGCGCGCATGTTTTGCTGCTCCCATACATTGTGTGAGTTTATCATGACAAGCCTCAAGCCTCGTCGAAGACGCCTGCGGCGAACCACGACCCCCCCCCTCGCCTTTCTGCTAACGCTTCTGTTGCCAGACGTTGTGCCAAAGTCTGGCCGAACTATTTAGCTATGATTTCCCTCAGCCGTTGTGGGACCCTCGGGGGAACACTTGGGGGATGAAGAGATGAGGATGAGGAGGAGGAGGAGAAGGAGGAGGAGGAAGATGAGGATGATGATGAGGAGGAGGACCAGCAAAACCCCATATTCATCAACGATGCTGGAATAAACCCTCCCTCCACGCTCCCTCTTCATAGGCTCCTACAATGGTTCATGTCCACTGAGGGAAGTGCCCCTTTGGGAGATGACGGTTTGAACATCTTAAAGCGTGCCAGAACACCATTCTCGGGACTCCAATGCCATGAATCATCGTGACTGTTGCGTCTTGACGCTCTTGAATCGTGCCACAACGCGATTCCTGGGATTTCAACACCGCGAATCAACGTAAGTGTTGCGCCCTGACAATCCTGAATCATTCCCAGGCACCGCTTCTGATACGTTGACCATGAGAGCCCGTGAATATCTTGCGGATTTTTAAGACGAGTGTGCGCGGCGCTACGGCGAGAACCACATTATGAAAACCGCCCACACTCAATCCGTGAAACACTTACATTTTTTGAATAACGACTGTGCGCGGTGCTAAGACGAGAGCAACATTTTGAGCAGGAATCGTCCTCAACCCATCAAACTCTTGCACATTTTTACTTTGAGTGTGCGCGGCGTTAAGGAGATAGCCACATTTTGAAAACCACCCGCCCTCGAGCCGTGAAGCTCGTTCAAATGTTCAAAGCGAATGTGCGCGGCGCTTAGGCGTGAGCAACATTTTGAAAACCACCCGCCTGCAATCCATACAACTTTTGCAAATGTTTAGCACTTTCTCAGCTTCAGGATCACGAATGGTCAGGCGAAACGCCCAGCCCGCCCTTTCGATTGGCCCGGGTGTGCGCAGACGGATGCGGAGGAGGAGGAGGAGGAGGAGGAGGAGGAGGAGGAGGAGGAGGAGGAGGAGGAGGAGGAGGACGAGGAGGAGGAGGAGGAGGAGGAGGCGAGGAGGAGGAGGAGGAGGAGGAGGAGGAGGAGGAGGAGGAGGAGGAGGAGGAGGAGGAAGAGGAGGAGGAGGAGGAGGAGGAGGAGGAGGAGGAGGAGCAGGAGGAGACGGAGGCCGAGGCGGAGGCGGAAGTGGAGGAGGAGGTGGGGGAGGAGGCTTAGGGGCCGTCTTGGGGGCCGTCTTTTCGTGGCATCCTGGGCCGTCTTCCGGCCCTTTTGGCCCGTCTTGGTGCCTTCTTGGGGGCCTTTGGGGCGTGTTGGGGCTACCTTGGAGGCCTCAGGGGCCGTTTTCGGGAGAGGTCGGGTAGGGTAGGGGTTTCGCCGGGGGAAGGGGGGGGAGGGGTTTGAAAATGGGGGGGGGAAATTTCGCTTGGGGGGGGACCCGAAAATGGGACGAATTACAACCAATCGGGGTGGATTCCAACCATGTCGGTCGCAATCCCAACCAACTGAGACCAGTTACAACCACCTTTCAAGCTTTTGCAGCATTTGTTTGAGGTTTCTTCAAGGTTCCTCACGGGGGCTTCTTGGAGGCTCCTTAGAAGCTCCTTAGAGGTTTCGGTTTCCTTGGAGGCTCTGTAAATGCTCCTTAGAAATTCCTTAGAGACTCCTTAGTGGTTTCCCCAACAGTTTCCTTGGAGGTGCCCTCGGAGGCTCCTTAGAGGTTTAGGCTCCTTAAAAGGTTTCATTTGAGGCTCCTAAGAGGCTCGTCGGAGGCTTACTTATAAACTTCTTAGACGTTTCCTTAGAGGCTTCCTTAGATGATTCTCAGAGGATTCTCATAGGTTTCGGTGGAGGCTCCTTGGAGGTTTCCTTAGAGGCTCCTTAGAGGCTCCTTACAGGCTCATTAGAGGCTCCTTAGAGGTTTCCTTGGAGGCTCCTTAGAGGTATCCTTGGAGGCTCCTTAGATGTTCCATAGAGGTAGAGGCTTCCTTGGAGGCACCTTAGAGGTTTCCTCAGAGGCTCCTTGGAGGCTCCTTAGAGGATTGCTGGAGGATACCTGCAGGATTTCCGACGGATTTCTGAAACAATTGGGAAATCTGCAAGAACCCATGGAGGATTCTTCAACAATTCTTCAAGTTTCTCTGGGTTTGCAAAGGGTTCCTTGACGATTCCTGGAGGTTTCCGAAAGGATTCCTGAAGGATTTTTGTAGGATTCCTGCGTGATTCGTGAAGGATTTTTGCGGGTTTCTTTGGATTCTGAAGGGTTCTTGAGGATTCCTTCGGTGTCCTTGGGACTCTGGAGGATTCCCGAGGATTCCTCAGAAAACCCTGGAGACCCGTGAAGAATTCATGAAGGATTCCGCAAGGATTCCTGGGGGTTCTGAGATTTCCTTCGAATTCCATTGGATTCCTGTGGAATCCTGCGGGTTCCTTCGGTGTCCTGCGGTTTCCTCAGGTGTCCGGTGGATTCCTGAGGATTCCTTTGGATTCCTGAAAGGTTGTTGTGGGATTCTTACAGGATTTCAGAGGGCGCCTTATTATTCTGCAGACTTCCTGAGGTTTCTTGAAGGATTCTTGGAACTTCTTGAGGGATCCTTCGAGAATCCCAAGCAATCTTGGACATTCCCTGGGGAAGCCCGATGGGTTCCTCATGGCTGCCGACGATTTCCCTGGCGCGGGGGTTCCCCTGGCTCCGAGGGCGACGATTCCGATGGAAGCGTTTCGTGCCCTCGGGCGTTCGGAAGACCCCCGAACCCACGGGGAGGGAGAGCGTGGCCGAACGAGTCGCCCTGCCCCCCGCCGGAGGAGGAGGAGGAGGACGAGGAGGAGGAGGAAGAGGAGGACGAGGATGCGGAAGAGGAGGAGGAGGAGGGAGAGGAAGAGGAGTAGGAGGCGGATAAGGAGGACAACGAGGAGGAGGAGGAGGAAGAGGAGGAGGAGGAAGAGGAGGAGGAGGAGGAGAACGAGGTAGAATGGAGAAGCAGGAGGGGGAACAAAAGAGGAAGACGAGGAATGTGGCACGAGGGGGATGAGGACGATGAGGGGGAAGAACAGGAGGAAGAGGAAGGAAGAGGCAAGACATGAGGAGGGTAACAACGGCCGACGACAGCAATGAGGATAAGTCGGGCTTTGGAAATGCGTTGTTGTGGGAGGTCTGTGGGTTTGCGTTTTGAATTTATGTTGTTTTGTTGGATGTATATAGCTGGTTTGAAGTAGTAAGTGTTGTTGTGAGTTGCTGTTGCCCAAAAAACATAGCTCCCATATCACAACAAGTCAGCTGGTACCAACTCCTACCGGGGCACCCATGTTGTTCCCCAGAATGACTGTGTACCCTTAAGACGGTCATTTGATGTCTGGATCGTCTTAAGATGCTGTACAGAGGGAATCCTACTGTAGGCCCGAAATGGCGGGTTGTGTTGTATTTTTGTTGGCCAGTTGAGAAGTGTCCCAGTCGGTTGTAATTTGTCCCATTGGTTCGACATGCGGGGGGACCCGGGTCCGGAGGGAGAGGGGGGATTTTTCGAGTACGGGCCATTGTGGCGGTGCGATGTGTGAGGTGCAACGGCTTGTTTTGATGTATAATATGTTTGTTTGCGTTGTGTTGTCTGATGTGCGGCGTTGTAGTGTTTCTTGTTTGGTGAATATCGTTGCATCTCTAGGAATCCCTTTGTTTTCCCCCACAAGAGGAATCCCTGTGTTATCATCCACAGAAGGAATCCCTTGGACATCCGCACACGAGGACTCCCTTTGTAATCCGCCTCCGGGGAAAAAGGCGTTCTTCCCTCCGAACAAGGTACGGAAAAAAACAGGAAAACAGGACACATAAGACAAAACCTGTAAGATCACAGCGGGGAAAAGGACACATTGAGAATATCTTCAGGGAAGGGGGAATCGGACAAATTGTAGAGACACTATAAATCCTGTTGTAATCCTCCGCCAAGGAAGTCCCTTTGTAGTCCGGACAAAAAGGATCCCTGTGTGGCCAGCCACGAATGTAATCCCTCTCTCTTCCCCCACACAAGGAATCCCGTTATAATTCCCCAGAAGAGGAATATCTTTGAAATCGGC